ATCAAAATCGGTGAAGAGCAGAGCGTAGGCTCTCCTTGTGAGTGTAGTCGTGTATTATATGTCAGCTTTATTGTTGCAATTAAATACAATTCTCAAACGTTTCAATCCCGCTTCGGATCCTCATCAATAATTTGCATGTTCCGATTATCAAAATGTTTCCTAATACAATGATTAATCGGAGCTAATGATGTTAGTATGTTCACAATTAGATAGTTGAAATGTGGTAATCGGAACATGCAAATCATTGATAAAGATCCGAAGCGGGATCGAAACGTTTGAGAATTGTATTTAATTGCAACAATAAAGTTGACATATTCTACACGACTACACCCAGTGTTTGACTCAAATTAGGCCATTGTCAATACCACTTGGATATAAAGAAATGTTTCAAGCGTATTTAAAAAATATAGAGATCTCTCTAACATCTTCAAAAGCATAGAGACTACAAAGCATAACATTATAACGTGAGAAATAGCTATATACAACATTAATGGTGGCGACAGTGTATAAGGGTGCCGTCACATACCAGCCCGCAATCCGTAATCCGCACCGAATGTCCGCAAAAGTTAGTAGAGATTGCGTCCGTAATGTTACGTGTATTTTATCTCCTTATGTCCCATGGAGCTATAATTCCGTAAAAGTTACCAGTTTTTACTAGTAATGCTTTTTCTAATTTTATCTATTTGATTAAATTTGACGATTTAAGTAAAGTTTTTGTCATAATCAAGATATATTCTGCAGTTTTTTTTTATGAAATGAATTAAAAATAATCAATATAACTTGTTAAATAAAAAAATAATGTAAAGCATTACTAGTAAAAACTGGTAACTTTTACGGAAATACGGCTCCATTGGACATAAGGAGATAAAATACACGTAACGTTACGGACGCAATCCCCAGTAACTTTTGCGGACATCCGGTGCGGATTACGGATTGCGGGCTGTAAGTGACGGCACCCTAATACCTGTAACTATGTATCTAAAACTTAAAAGATACCGTATCAAAAAATAACTAGATACGGATACAGGTATCTCCTCCTATAAGGATCTAGGTAATGCACTTAGGTACAGCTAAAGTATCTAGATACTGTATCTAGGTACTTTTACCTAGATACGTTCCAACACTGATTACGTATATATGCAACAAAAGGATATACATTTTATGAATGTTCACTTCGAACTAGCACCTTCAATAATATATCAGTTACTTTCCATGTTAATATATTTTATTATTAGATAATTATTTAAAGTTTTGAAGATTTCAATACTAAAACCAAGTAATTTTATGTTTTCAGTAACTGTATCAAATAAGTTTTATCTTTATTATTATAAAAGAATTGATTCTTTGTGCTGTATTTTATCTTCAGATTTATTGAAGGGAAAATCCTGAAAAGAAAAGGCAAGAGTTTTTTAAATCCATACCTTTTTTCTTTTCAGACTTTTCCTATCAACAAAGTACAAAGAATCAATTTTTTTATGATTATATAAGGAATAGAGAATACAAATTAAGGTATCTACCAAACAAATAAATAACAGATCTGGAGACACGGTAGTGTCACAGTATATACAGTAACGCAACTCTTCTGATTTTATGAAGCCTAAAATGGAGTGCGCATACGCGAAATGGGTAAGTTGCCCAGTAACGCCGTCTACACTTCTATCTCACTTGCTCTAGTTCCTTTTTCTCTCTGTTTCTTTCTAGCTGCTATTTGTATGAACAGCAAATTAAATGTACAAAAATTAAAAGAAATAGTTTTATAATTGTAATACGTTGCAAAATAAAAATAAATACAAAAATAAGAAAATATAAAATTATATAAATATTGTATAAATATTATACTGTAAAAATATTTTAATTAAAGATCCGCACACGATGCTTGTTTTCCTGCTAAATTGTTTGCATTTTTTGAAAATTATTAGAATTGTACCACACAGAATTAACGCAGATTTTCTAGCTAAAATGTAAGTATAATTTAACAGAAAAACACAAGCATCATTTTCCGCAGGTTTAAAATATTAATATAAACAATAAAATTTACTGTTATTTATATTGTTACAGATTTTATTTCATAAAATTATTATTAGATACTTTTATAATTACAATAATTATATAGTCAAAAGATATAGTACTGTTTTCTTATTACGTAATCTGTAATAATATAAATAACAGTAAATTTTATTGTTTATATTAATATTTTAAACCTACGGAAAATGATGCTTGTGTTTTTCTGTTGAATTACTTACGTTTTAGCTAGAAAATCTGTGTTAATTCTGTGTGGTACAATTCTAATAATTTTCAAAAAATGCAAACAATTTAGCAGGAAAACAAGCATCATGTGCCGATCTTTAATTAAAATATTTTTACAGTATAATATTTATACAATATTTATATAATTTTATATTTTCTTATTTTTGTATTTTTTTTTATTTTGCAACGTATTACAATTATAAAACTATTTCTTTTAGTTTTTGTACATTTAATTTACTGTTCATACAAATAACCTAGGCAGCTAGAAAGAAACAGAGAGAAAGAGGAACTAGAGCAAGTGAGATAGAAGTGTAGACGGCGTTACTGGGCAACTTACCCATTTCGAGCATGCGCACTCCATTTTAGACTTCACTAACATCAAAGGTGCCGACAGAGAGTTGCGCTACTGTATATACTGTGGTAGTGTCTCGGTAAATAAGTAACCTAACCAAATGCTGTAAAAAGAAAATAATTATATAAAAAATAATTTATTTTCTTACAGCGGAATTATAGCAGAGAATTTGTGTAATAAAGCAGAAAATATCTAACCTCACTTACGTGTTCGTCTATTCTATAATCTATGCCATCGATGTAACAGATTTCTTAACCTTAATCCTTTGTTATTGCTGAGACTCTTTATCCGACTTAACGATCGTACAGATCGCAGAGATCGATGTTTATTCTAACCTCACTTCCGTATTCGTCTATGCCATCGATGTGACAGAGTTCCTAACCTCAATCCTTTGTTATTGCCGAGACACTTAATAATCCGACTTTAACGATCGTACATATCGCAGCGATCGATATTATAGATTTATAGGTATAGTCGCGACCACATTTATCTCTTGCACCAAAAATTCCAGAATGCATTTCCTCACTCCGTAGCTGGCAACAATGACGACGACGATGACGACGACGACGTTTCTTACAAACAAACCCATTTCCTCGACGGCGAACACCTAGACACTTACTTCCTCGAAGGCGAACACTTAGACACTTTCTTCCTCGAAGGCAAACACGTAGACACCCACTTCCTCGACGGCGAACACCTAGACACTCACTTCCTCGAAGGCAAACACCTAGACACTTACTTCCTCGAAATCAAACACGTAGACACCCACTTCCTCGACGGCAAACACCTAGACATCCATTTCCTCGACGGCGAACACCTAGACACTCACTTCCTCGAAGGCGAACACCTAGACACTCACTTCTTCGAAGGCGAACACCTAGACACTCACTTCCTCGAAGACGAACACGTAGACACCCACTTCCTCGAATGCGAACACCTAGACACTTCCTCGAAATCAAACATGTAGACACTTATACTTCCTCAACGACGAATATATCTCTATATTTCGATATTTCAATTTTAATATATATATATATATATATATATAACATTATATATATAATTAACAACAAATTAATATATATATTCTAAAATGAACTTATAAAAATTTACATAAATGTAACGATTAAAAAAACAGATGTTAAATTATATTACTAGTTTCGACCACCAAATCTGGTCCTCTTCAGATGAAACACTTAACGTTGAGATGTACATAATTATGGACAAACATCAATACAAAAGAAAATCTTGTGCATAGTTAAATATATAACTGAAAACAATAAATGAACATATATTAATTAAAAGATTGTAATCTTAAATTCTAAGAATGAAAATTAACGATGCGCAAAACATACCAAAAAATTTGCAAATCTATGCGTGAAAATATTAGTTGGTCCGTGTATCCATATATTTACAAAAATAGTCATAATGATAATTGTCACACAATAAAAAAACAGTAAAAAATTTTTTCTTTAAAAAAACTTATGTCAGAAATATTACAAAACTGTCGAAGTACATCTTGAGATAAAAAGTAATACATGGAACACGTCAAACATCCTCAACGGACCAATTCCAACTAAATAACGACCGGCAACAACTGATACAGAAAGATCAAATTTTGTTTATAATGGGTATATATGCTTCATGAAGACCTTCCGTGTCGGTTTGTAAGTTTAGGCTAAATTTCTGTTTTTTAATATTTAACATTTCTGAGACCAAT